TCCAAGTGGTGAAGGATCAGCCTCCTCAATGGAGACAGTGTCCCCAGGGAATTCTATTGAGTCCCCACTGAGATATGATCAGACTCCTACTTCATTTGACATGTATGCTCAGGCACATAGCATGCCTCAGCAACCCTTGTTTCATATAGACAATGTGACAATGTCTCATAGTATGACAGATGATCAGGCCATACTTCAGTATGAATACAACAATAGTCCAGGCATGGAGCACATGCAACCACAGTGGACCCAGCCCCACCATAACCCACCACCCACCTACTCCACCTCTATCACCCCACCATCTCAACCCCCCATCAACAGTCCCATTGGACATGGAAAAATGTCTCCAGTTAAACCCACCAAGAACTCGCTACCCACCTCCCCCACCCACATTCAGGCAATGCACCAGCGAGCTCGCCAGGAGCAGCGGGTGGTAGCTCATGGGAGTCCACACAATAGACAGAATGATCATTATGTGTCATATAGCAGCTCGGAGACTCATCTCCCTATCACCACCATGCCAAACATGTACACAAATGACTCTTATATGCATCAGTCACAAGCTATTGACTATCCACAGAAAATGTATATTGAAAAATACCCCACCCCTCAATCTCAGAGTAGTATGGACTCTCCCCAAGTGAGATCAGGGGTGGCTCTCCCTGAACATTATTTGACTCCATCTCCCGATTCTCCGGGACAGTGGTCCAGTTCGTCACCCCACTCCGCTCATTCTGATTGGTCGGAGGGCATATCAAGCCCTGACCAACCCATTCGCAGCAATAAACCTGTGTTTCTCTAGGATACTATTTGTGCCAGTTCATGTAAAATGGGGCAGTAATGGACACTGTGAACTTTGCAAATACCTTTACATGCAATTTTATTGGTGCAGACGGTTTGTGATTATATTACGCATTTACATTTGGGTGGACAAAGTGTAAATATGTTTGGTTAGATTGGTGCACAGTGTATTTTAAGTTTTATGTAGTTTTTTTTGTGTACCAATTATTTTATCTTGCAGAATGTGTTTTGTATGTGCAAGGGGCCAAAGTTTGAGTTGCATGTATAAAAATTATATTGTTATTTCCATTATTTGTTTTTATTACCAGAAGGCAGGATGCCGTTTATGTTAGAAATTGTTTAAGCCTGCAATGTTTGCTCCAGAAGAATTTATGTGGTGTTGATAACATTTCATTTAAATTTAGATATTTTATTTGAATGTAGTGCTGAAGTTGGCACTTTGAAGGAAAAAAATTGAGAAACTGCCAGTTCATTATTTTATATGTTCACTTTACAGGACATTTGTTCTGTGCATGTTTGCAGTTGCTACAGAATTTTATACTGTTTACATTTTAGTACAATTTTAAGTTTTGGCTTGATATTACAGTTTTTGTATGACCCATCTTATTTCATTGTTTTAACCCAATTTGTGTAAGAATTTGATTTATTAAAAAGCTTAGATCGTGTCACCGCGACAACCCTGACCTGACCAATCAGCTTCCAGTACTCATTCCACTTGTCATTGTGTAGATCACTTCATCCCATTTGTTATAAAAATGTACATAGGATATTTTTATAAATTTTGTATTTCTCTGTTTTATCATCTTTGTATGAAACTCAACATTTCTGGAAGCTAAGCTTCTTCATTTCCATACCTAAAAATTATTTGAAATGTTTTTAAAAGAAAGACATCAAGATGGTATAAAATTTTCATATTAAAAAATTACATTTGACCAAAAAATGATCTCAGCTTTTAAACCTCATCCAACTAATACACATGTAGTTGTTGTAACAAGAACAAATTATACTTTTTGTCTTGGAAAATTTCCTTTCATAGATTACTTTTATCTGAAAATTGCACATCAAAATGTAGTACATGTAACTTCTATGTAGATGAATTACAAAGTAACCTCTGTTTGTAAAAGTTAAATCCCAGCCCGCAGAACTGAACAAATTTACAACACTTTGTACATGTACATATTTGTTAATGAACAAACAAAACTTGAAAAGTTTTGGGCTTTGTGAACAAATAACTTGCAGCCAAGAAGATACAAATTACATTTCCTTATACTTTCTTATGTAACAACCAAATTGTTTTCTTTTAATTTTTAAGAAATCCAGTTAGAATTTACTTCCGTCTACAAAGGATCAACATAAATTCTATGATCATTAATGGATAGGATACAAATTACATCTAGTCTGTTTGCATTTAGATAACTAACATTTTTTTTTCCACTGTTGTATATGAAATTGTAAGAAATGTGCAAGGAGGGCAAATATTTGTTTTAGAGTTTGTAGAAAATATAGCATTGAGCTTTTTTTTTTACTTCAATCCTATATATTATCTGCAGAACTGTGTACATCTGCAAAGAATGGATTTGAACATATTATATAGTTTCATAAGGGTTAGGATTGCTTTTATTTAATGCTCCTTATTTTATCTATTTATTTGTTTTTATTTAAGTGCTATATTGCCAGGAATGTGTAAACATTGCCCTGATCATGATCAAACTTGGTTTAAATAATAACTAGGACAAAGTGTAGTCATTTTTTTAAAAGATTTCTTCAGTTGGTCATGTTTACATGTTTCCTTTTTTGTTTTGGTATACTTATTATTTAGTTCATCTTTAAATAATATCTGAAGCAACAAACAGAAGGCCAGACACAAAATTCTACAAATATGCATGTTCATTAATTATGTCACTTAATTTCATTTTCATCCAAGATGCAAATAAAATATGTAAAATTTAAGAATTGTGTTTATTGTTGATTTAGTTGATTTGTAGAGTTGTAATTTACAAATCAATCTCAGAATATACTCGTAATTTGTGTTCTTCATTATGGTAAAAAAGTTCTAGCAGAAGTTTTATGTAGCAAAAATTGGCCTATAATAAAGTCCATACTGTTGTCAGCAAATCTGATTAAAAAGGAAGATTTTTAACCCTATACATGTACGTCATTAGAAGAATGTGAAGATTCTTTGTAAGTTTACATGTAAATATTGTACATGTACATTTATTGATGTATTCAAAATTTAGCGCAATCACTGGGTATTGAATGGTTGGTGTTGTCATGAATTAGTGCTACACATGTCCGAGCCGTGTATTTTATTTATTAATGATTTATTAACAGTAGTCATAAATTAGCCCATTGTTGTTCACGCCAAAGCTGCTAAAATATGAAGCCCGCTTTTTTTAAGTACACATACAGTACATGTATTTGTAATTCAAAATGGTGAAGATAAAAACCTGCACAACTCCATAGAGAATTACATAAACAGAACAGCTTTTATGTGATTAAAAAGTGGGGAATGTGGGGAAAATTTGAGATTACAAGTATTTTTCTGGAAATCATTGTGGTATTTTCCACATCAGGTTTTTGCAAAATTCTCATTATTAAGGACCCTCTCTACACTGCACACTAATTTCAGGATACTTTTGTGTAATTAGTCTGATTCACCATTTGATATAAAATAGAATAATATGTAAATATTGCATGCAGTTGAGTGTAACATTGAAAATTTTCACCCCAAGAAAACCATTGTCAACTGAGGCGCAGCCGAGATTGACAATGTTTTCGAGGGGTGAAAATTTTCAATGTTACACTCAACTACATGCAATACTTATTATATTATACTGAATGTTTTATACAAATACATATAACAGTGAACCGTGCGTGCATAAATTCTGCGCAGTCACTATTTTTTGGAAAAGCACCCGTCGTCAAGCAATGTTGACTGTTGCTACGCTGGGGGGGGGGGGGGGGGCTTCATCATTCAGCGGGTAATAGTGTTTTTGAACAAATGTTTCTCTATGAATCAGATTCAACTAATTTACATGAAAGTATAATATATTGTAATATGCACTGTATTACATAATAAGATAATTTATAACTCCTTTATAATTTTCTTTGAGTCCCAAAAACATTTTTCCTCGGTGTATACAGGGCCCTTCAACTTTTTTAGTAGAAAAAATTGTTAAATAAAATGTGTTACAATTCTCAGCTGAGATTCAACTTGGCTGGATATTTAGACTGATGCTGTTGACAGTCCAAATATCCAGCCAAGTCAAATCTCAACCGAGATCTCATTTATGTTTGTAGATGTTCAGTCGTCCAAAAATTGTAACACATTTTATTTAACAATTTTTTCTACTAAAAATATTTCCCTGCTTCCTGTTAGCTCTCTGTTTACATATGTCCACTGGTGTGTTGATGCATTTTATTCTTCTTAATCAATACTGTACACGATCAAAATATATGTACTTTATATTGTTAAAGTCTAATGTTAATTGTAAAGTACATGTACTTGTCTCATGTCTGAACTGTAAGAGTTAACTTGATGTTTTAAAGTTACTGCACCTAGTCATTTCTTTCAACAAATAACCTGATGACACTTGGAAGACATTTGGCTGGCTCCTCTTCAAAGGCCTCTGGGGTACAAGACAGGCCTCTAAGTGGTCTCTGAAATTTAGGCGCCAGCTGGCGCCTTTTCAAACAAAAAATTAGTCACCAATGCAAATTTTTAGTCGCCAGGCAATTTTTCTAAGGCACCAACTTTAAAAGTAAATAGAGTATGGGGACCCATGACGTGCCTAAGAAAAAACATGTCCATTGCTAAAAATAATTTCCTCTTCTTTTAAATTTCTTTTCGCTTTTTTAGAAAAATTGTTAAAAATGTGAAAATTTCCGGAATTCGACAATCACCAAGTCAATTTAAAATGGTTGCAAATTTGGTGACTTATGGAAAAATTTTAGGCGCCATGGTGCCAATTAGAGCCCTGGAAGACATGAGTAATTTTTGCTTCCCTTCATCAAAAGATGCTATACACCAAATCTGATTGAAACATGGAAGCTGAAAATGTTTAAAACATTATGACATACTCAACATAGTCAACGGCAGACAAAAACAGATAGGAATGGGTAACTCGAGTGATTCAACTGAACTAAAAATCACAATCACTTTTAACTCCGCATTCTTAATTAACAACATGAACTAAATACAAATTTTACTTGTTTTATTTATTAATATTACAACAACAATAACAAATTCTATTCAAGTAAAAGACATTCACCAAAACTTTAAATCTTGTGAGGGTCTGGTCATATTTACCAGTGGCAGTACAATGTTCTTGGTAAATTATCTGGTCACGTACAGTAAACAAACTACCAGTGGTAGCTCTATATTAAAGATCTGGTCAATACACACGAACAAATCTACCAGTTCTAGTGCAAGTGTAATGTTTTTAGATTTTCAAATGTTGAATACACAATAAACAGATCTTCAAAAAAAAAAAAACCAAACAAAAAAAAAAACAACAAAATAAATCCAAGTGCAAATGAAAAAGACAAAAAACAAAACAATACAAAATTGATTGTATAAAAGATTAAATTTCTGTAATCTAAATTACATGAAAATAAATTTTGTGAATACTAACCTGAGATGGGAACACAATAACCAAATTCACAGATTAGAAGCAGATTTCAGATAAATTGTGATTTATTGAAACATGGACATAAATCTCAACATCAAGAGGTTCCATGTATATTGTCATATACAAATATAACCTTCTTATTATAAATCTGTAACAAAAGAGGTTTATGCAAATGATAAAAAGGGAGATGATGTGTTCTCAATACATGTGCATTTCTTGTCAGTATTGGTGCAAAGATGGGTGAGCCTGTGTGAGGTATCATACTTGATTTAAAGAATTTCTGGTAATTCACATCAGCTGGTATAATTGAATATTTTTTATTTGAAGCCAAATTAACATCAATTTAACACTAGCATAATACCCCCACCCCCCAAAAATGAAACAGAAAATCTTTAATTTGCATCATTCAGTACTATTATCTGTATCCATATTCTCAGAGATAATTCAGCTATGCTGTTTAATGACACCAAGTTATATGGCACATGATAATTAGAAATATAAATAATTTGACTTAAGTACACAATTTCACATACACTCACAAAATGCTTTCTTTATTTTGTCAGATTATTGTGCCTTGAGAAATTTGAATTTGTAATATTCTAGAATTCTAGAACATTACCACCCATGCCTTCTAATCAACTTTGTCCTTGAATTAAATATCTTTGTTTGTTTGTTTTTTTAATATCCTCTTTCAATTTGTTTCTTTTATATTTTTAATCTTCTTCATTTTACTTCCTCTGTCTTCTTCTTTGCTGCTTTTTCTTTAGCCTGAAATTTAATTTAAACAAAAAATGATATGTGCCTTTACATAAAAATCAAAATCAACTTATTTTCTAATAATCTTGAAAAACTAGAAGTGTAAATGTATGCGTTGCTCATAGAGAGACATGTTAGAAATTACATCAAAAGTCAAAAACATCCCAGTTTTAGTCATGGTGTATCCATTCTCATGCAATCTGACCAATAAAAATCTTCTCTGTGTAGATTTCTCACCTTTTCTACGAGGGGAAGTAACTGCTTCTGTTCTGCTAGTATCTTGAGTAGTTCCATTATGAAAGGGAGGTAATTGTGTTTTCTCCTGATATTCTCTACCTGTTTCAAAATGCACACAGAGTTAAGCTTTACTACAACCTTTCAATTAGGTACAATTATCTTACTGGAATAAACCTGAGTTACATGTTACCCTCTTGTGTTAATGTTACCTTGTATCTTTTCATTTTGAGATCTTCTTCTTGAATCTTGACCATTAACTGACTAATTTCTAACTGATCAGCCTCTGTCTCCATCCCTCGGGACTGAAAAAAAAGTTTTACAAGACATGTAAATTTTACAACAATTTCACACTTACCAATAATATTCATAATTAAGTTTCAAACTCATCTAATCACAAATATAAAGGAAAAATGAGCTAGAACTGTCCTAATACTGCAGGGCAACCAGAAAAGGGGCTCACTTTAAATAGGTTTAAAAAACACCTTTGACACCTTGTTAAAAAATTGTACTGCAGATTCCCATAGTGTCTTTCTCTGGAAATGTAATAGATGGACGAAGAATGTAACATCTCTGGTTGAGATTAACCAGTGAGTACAATAATTCATCCACTGTCCAAGCATCAAAATGTCATGGTTCAAAGAACATTTAACTTCTCAGTCACCTGACTGTGGCTTTATGCACACACCTTTGTGGTAAAGAATCATGACATATCTCTTGGTCACAATCACTTTTATGCTGATACTCCAATAAAAAAGCTTTGTTTTGTAGAATATTACATTTCTGAGGTACCTGTCTGATCTTGTCTCAATGACCTTTGATTTGGGTCGTGTTATATCCTATGATCATAATCAACTCTTAAGGCAATATGACCTTTGGAAGTTATTTCATTATAAGGCTATCAAACCCAGTGACCTTGACCTTGTCCAAATGACCATGGTGCAGATTTGTTAAACACCCTCAGGTTACAAGCATTTTTTTTCTAGTATAATCTTCAAATGTTTTTATCCACATCAGTTATGGCTATGGCAAGAATTTTTTTTCATTTCTAAATCCTGTGACCTTAACCTTGTCCAAATTACCTTTGAGTCACAAGCAACAGTTACTTTATGTAAAAGCTTCTTTGATTTTTCACTTCAAATTTAAAGTTATGGCTTTCAAAATAATTTAATACTTTTGTACACTTTGACTTTGTCTAAAATGACCTAGGTACTGGGTCAAGGCACATTTCTGCACACAAACTATTTTTATATTAAGCATGAACCTCTGGAGTTTCTATGTTACAAAGTTATGCCTTAATTAAAAAGAATTTCACTCCTCTTTCTCCTGTCAAAGAAATTAAATGTACATGTATGTACAATAAAATCTTTAAAAAGTCATCTTTTTTTTATAAAAATTTTGACAAATAGATCTGACAGGTGCACAAGTTCAAATTATATGTAATATAAATTCTACAAAGTTTGACAAAATAATATAAACTAGTTTCAGAGATCACCTCTGGACAAAAAAGTCTGCAGACAGACAGACATGGTGATTTCAATGAACCCCACAAAGTTCATTGTGGGTTTATAAAAATCATTTCAAATATTTATACAAAAGTAAGGAGTCCTATGCATTTGCACACCAATACTACTCACCTGAAGTTCTCGTAATCTTTTTTGATACATGGCTTTTCTGTCTGACACTATTGCCATTAAGTTGAAATGAATTTCATCTGTACTATATCTAAAGAAGTGCAAGAAAGACAAAGTGGATTTTTGATAATGTAAATAGGTCAAGTAAAATGCACCTGTACTTTAAAAAATTAAGAGCATGAAAAGGCAAATAAGAGTTTTATGCATACTTTGTCCAATACTGTAAGTGTAAAAAAAAAGGTTTTTTTTATCTGCTCTTTATCAATATTCTGATTAAAATAAATGAGCATGAAAAATGAGCCATTATTACACATTGTATGAAAACTGTCAGCATAATATTTTACTATCATTAATTTTTTTCTTAATTTTAATTTATTCTTTAATGTAGAGACACTAAGAAAGTCTTGGTCAATTTCCAGATAACTCATCACTCAACCTCAACAATTTATAGGCACTCTGAATAATTTTTAACTAGCTTTAAAGCCCTGTAAAAAGTTTCACCACAAATAATATTAATCACTTTTTATTTGCTATAACTTTATTTTCATGTAATTATGCAAGATCCTTTGCTCACAAAAATTTTATTCTCATGTATATTTATTTAACTGGGGTCTTGTTAAATACTGGTAGTGACTAAACTAGAGAACATTTTGTCTTGCTTATAAATAGCAAATAACTACATGTATCTCATTAAAAGAAGATGTCACAAAAATTTTGTGATCTACAGTAGGTGGACATTTATCAGCTACATAAAGATGAACACAAAGAAATGTGTTCACTAATAACAGATAAAACAGAACATGACCTGAAACAGGTGAGACCTTGAACATCACTATGTGGTTTTTCTTACTTTTGCATCCTCTTCTCTAGAACTGGTCTGACAACATCCAGCCAGTCTGTATCAGCAGGGATGGCACCTATAGATTAGGACAATAAACAGGTGACTCCTTCAGATCATTTCAAAGTTTCATATAAAAAAAATGAAGTTATACACTGTTAGAATACAAACTATTTTACAAGCTCATGTTTTTTTTAAGTCTTCTTTTCAATCTGTCATTTTTGGCATACTCCCTCAGGATCAAATTAATAAAATTGAATAACAATGACATTAAATTACATTACAATCAAATCAATTCTTGTAATAAACCTATCCAACTGATTAGTTAGCCAATACCCAGATAATTACCTAGATCTACTGGTCCCTCTTTAAGTCCATCTAACTCGTAAAGTCTTCCATCTATTGGTATGTAACTGACAAAATGGAAGACGTCATCATCCTTCTTAGCTAATTTCTCATCAAACTCAAACATCTGCTGCCTGTAAAGTTTTATACTGCATGTAATATTAATTCATTGAATCAGATAATGTAAGCATGTAATGCATTAGCATTAATACTTACATTCAAATGCTTCATCTACGGTTGTACAGAGAAAAGTTCAAAGTTAATTCTACATGCTTACCTTGAAAAACTGTTATGAACCTCTCGTATGGTATCTGAGTTACTCAGTGTCAACCCTCGTAACTGAAATCAGGTACTACTAATTAACACAGTATTTTTCATTATCAGTTCATAGTAATTAGGCAATATTTTTATTACTTATGAGAAGGTAAATCCAAACAAAAATAATCTTTTAGTTAAAAATACTGTAAAAAAAAAAAAGAAGATGTGAACACTCACAGCAGGATCAAAGGCCTGAGCGAACTCTTTAAATTGGCCCAGCGTGGGGCCGAGTTTGATCTCGTTCTCGGGACAGTTGAGAAGTACACTAATGATTGCTTGTGTAGCACAGGCATTATTTATAACCTAAAAAAAGAATAAATCATTCAGTTGAAGCTGAATTCTGTACTTAAATACCAATGTACTTATCCAGAGAGAGATCTTTGCAGAAATAAAATTTGATACAACACATTGCATCACCATTTATTGTATTTAGAGCGGTAGCTTCTGAAGGTTATGTAATTTTTTCTGCAATGTTGCAATCATTAATCCCCATATCAACAAACAAACAAAGCATTTAATTGTGTGAATTAGGTCCACTTTTTTTCTCATATGTCCAGCAAATACATACCCTCACTACTTTATTAAAAATAAACAGTGTTGAATGTATAGGTTTTCAAATTAACTATGTTTTATATATTTTTTTCTAATCTCATAGACAATTTACAAAATGTAGGTACCTGTTTTGCAAAGAAAATTTTCTCTATGCGATTGTCTTGGACAATGCTGCCTTCTGGTTCAGATTCTGGCTGCCATTTAAACAAGAATATCAGTCCATAAACTGGTCTACAAAACACATTATAAAACCAATATATCTACTGTATAACTTTTAATCTATATACATGTTTATTGATTTAGAGGTTTGTATACATACAAGATGAAGATGTGGTTGTCATTTTACATTGCCATATACTCCAAAGTATAGGTAATTAAGAAATGTATAATATAATGTGGGTAACTGCTCAAATTAAAATAGCTATAATGACAATATCTTATATCTATTTCTAATCATTAAATGTAAGGTATTAAGGTTCATTGATACTCTGGCTACGAGAAATAACTCTTAATGACATAAATGTCTATTATTCCTTTATAGATTTGTGAATTGAAATATCCTTTTTGTTTAATTTTGCCCCGCAAGCTATGGTATAATTGTTTGTATTTTACTTATAAAGAACATCTCTTTCGGAAAACAATAAAAGTTAAAGCAACATTTTATATGAGTGAGCAGAGGGTGTATGAACCTTAATTCATTATTTCATAATGATCTGGGTCAGGGGCAGAAATTCCAACAGCTCCTGTGTCTTAGGATAGTAATTCTATAACTGTTTTGAAGTCATAAATTTGCCTTGATATCTTCTAAATGTTTCCAAGAGAATTTCATGTTAATTATATTGTGGGTAAATGTTTGCCTTACTTAAGATTCTCAAAACTTGTTGAGTCCAAACTCCACAGCTCCTCCACCTGTACTCCTTCACAACCTAGAATTGAAGAAAATACTTCACTTCATATCATAAATACACACTGAACTGCATAAGACTTCTTCAAAAATCAATAATAGAAGTTGTGTTCGATCAGTTTCAATTCTACTTTTTACAAATTTTGCACTTCAATTTTTAACAAAATTTCACAAGAACATCATTATTCCAGTTTAGATTAGTGAAGGTATTAAGTCAACTCATAACCCGACCAACTCATAACCAAGTCAGCTTGAACCCAACAAGTCAACTCATAACCAAGACCCAGCTGGTTACAAGTTCATTTTTGGTTTATGGCGGGAGAAGTCAAGTGGTACTCTAAGCAAAGGCAAAATTTGAATTGTAACCTGCCTTGTGTCTGCATGGTTACAAGTTAACTTTAAGTATTACAGTACCATAGATTTTCATTCAAAATAAATCAAATGTTGGAAAAATAGTTCTTTGTTTTTTTGTAATTGTTAGCTATAGTATACAAATGGTGTACTTACAGTTTTCTTGTCAAAAAAAAAAGATTACCATTGTGCATTTAATAATATTGAAATATCATTACATCATAATTCATTTAGTTAAACATTATCATTATTACAAGATGGAGTCAACTCGTAACAAGTCTTTTTTACAAGTTGACTTTTGCCTTTTAGTTTGGAGTTGACGTGTTGGGTTTTGAGTTGACTTAGTTATGTGTTGGTCAGTTTACGAGTTGAGCAGAAACCATTAAGAGTAATTTTTCAATGCAAACTTTAAAGATATACTAAAGAACACTGTCCCAATGTCTTTTTAGTTGTATAATTATGTCACAGTGCTGACAATATGCTTACTTTGTTTTCATATCATTCAGATTTGATTCTGCATGAAGACAGATGACTTTAATAACTCTTTTTAAACTGGCCTATCATTAGTAGGTCTTATTTTCATGCTTTTCATGATTTTAAATTCTAACAAAGCTATTACATGTAAATAATTCAGTGAAAATAGTTTTTGGACTGGCCTACTTCTTTTCCCGATAACATAAATGGAAAACGTCAAAAAAGCTTTAAGGTGATATGTACCTGTTTTAACCATTTCGAGAAAAAATTTAAAGTTAAAATAGGGGGTCCTTTTCTTTTGCTGATAAATTGATAATTCTATTTTTCAATTCACAAGCATATTGGCTGTCATCTACATTGATATGTACGATACAAATAAAACACATAATACAACTTATTGCCTTATTAAGTATCAAACATATTGATGTAGATAACAAATGCTTATGTATTTTAGACCTCAAGACTCATGCATCTTGTGTTGCATTCGAATTTTCTCTGATCTAGATTTTTGTTTAAATCCCATCAGTGACTCAAAGAATTTAATAATTCATTAGAGATAATATAAGAGCGAAAAAGTTGGAACGTTCGTTATATCATACCGAATCCCTTGATAAGTTCCGTAAATACACCAGGGTCACTCTCGATCAAACACCAGTCTCCTGCGCTTGTCGCCATCTTCAATTTTCAAACCGGAAGTAGCACATGTTTCTTGACAACATCCGGATTTGCAGTGCAATGATTCAAAGAATATGAAATGACAAATAAGGCAGGTCCAGAATCTGATAGTAAACATTTGCCTGCGGTTGCAATGGTAATTTGTCTGATATGTTGATCCATGTATTGTGTGTATATATAGAATGTTGGTGAACGTTGTTCATCGTCATGTTTAAATTGTCAAACGGTAAGCGGTCTGAACAGTGTTCGCACCTGTTCATCTTTCACATGGGGTCCTTTTGACCTCCATGGAAGAAATCTGGTCCAGATATGATAATGGTCCTCTTAGTGAACGTGTTTTATTATCTTTTATGTGAAGGTAATTGAACAAAATAATAAAAATACTGATTATTTAAAAAAAGTAAAGATCAAATAAATTCATCTGGGTTTCCTTTTTTGCAAAAAGGTCGATAAATGATGTTTTAGCAGAATAAGGCATCCCCCGATCTCCATACATAAAATATATTTTCTCTACATAATACATTCCAAGAATGTAAAAATTATGTATAGCTGTTGTCATAAAATGTTTGTGTTTATTTTGCTATAGGGCCTACATGTACATATGAAATACAGTTGAACTTTGTTATCTAGAACTTCAATATCTCACCTACAATGGATATGTTGAAGTGATTTAACAGTCACAACCACTTTTCTTTTATGTATTTTAACCTTGATATTTTGAATCATATTGGATATCTCTGAAGTTAACTTCTTGGTCCCATTCAGGGTTCGCGATAACAAGGTTTGACTGTAGATGCAAGAAATAATTATATTATAATAAAGAATGTTGTCAGATTGAAACTTTGATCTAATATAAATGATAACCATGCATTATTGAGAGGAATTATCTCATATTGCAGTGTATTCAGTCTGAAAAAATGTAAATCAAAAACTAGGACAATTTACACTCACTAAATGTTAGTTTTTATTCCATTGTTTAAAGGATTGTTTTCCAAATGGTATTGATTACTGGTAATTATCAATAAGCACTTACTTCTCTTGAACTACAGATAAATATGAACCAAATTTTACATCCTTTGGTGAAGGAGATTAAATTCCTTTCTTGAATGCCCCTCTTCCATTCATGGTATTTTAAAAATGGGGGGAATAAAATGATCTTTTAAAAATCTTTTTTAAAAACCACAAATGATAAAATTTAATGTGCCCCTTTTGTGTGATGTAAATTAATTCACATTTGCTGAAAATGTAACCACTCTAGCAAGGAGATACAATTCACCCTTAGGCTAGGAGGTCCAAGTTTACATGGCAATATAAAACAGAATTATGTTCATGTAGATACATGTAACTTATATAATGTTTGACAGAGTAAGTGCGGAAATTTTAATCTAAGATTTTGTAATAATCTCATAACGTGCAGAAATCTGATAGAGAGTTATGTAGAAAATGGCACAAGTGACATATTTGAATACAGAAATTAATGTATGATTTCTTTATATTTATATGGGAATTTATTATTTATGTCATGTTTTTTTTTTTTCAAAATCATTTAAAAAATATAAATCAATTTTTGTCATAGTATGATTTATCCTTAAAGAAAATAATTATGTAAAAAGTTTAAAAGTAAGAAACATATTTTGTGTCTTGTGATCTATTATAACTATTTTTCAGTATGGTCCTTGCACAGTCTCTGGTGTCAAGAAAGGTGATGTCAAACTTTGGTGTGCATGTGGACTGAGTAAAAATCAGCCCTGGTGTGATGGTAATTATTCTACATGGTTATCAGCTCTGGTGTGATGGTAATTAATGAAGATGGTATTGATAGAATCAATTATTTTTACTTAGGATCCCATAAAGGCACTGGGATTAAGCCACTGAAGTGGACAGTGTCAAAAGAACAGAGACTTTTTCAGATCTGTGCCTGTAAGTACACCAAGGACCCACCCTTCTGTGATGCCACCCACACAAATCTACCATCTCAGGTCCTACACCAACAGGAAGTGTGTCCACGGCAACTGGACGATCACCATAGCAACAATAAACTCTGCACAGGGTGTGGTTGGGTGCCAGATTTCTGATTAAGGCCTTACTAACACTGTTTACACAATAAACACAGTACTGTGATATTACTAAGTTTTGTGCAATGTAATGGAATTCATTGGAAGGATGAAAGATGGAGGAATTCTGAATCTCACTTAATTGAGAGCCATATTACCTCTCAAATCTCTGTTGTAAGCATGTATAAAGAATCCACTTGACCTACATTGTAAATGTGAATTAGATTGATCATTGATCATTTTCCTGTCAATCCTCAGTTTGTGAAGTATTCTACATTTATGTGAAAATGTATAATAGAAACTGACTCCATCCAAATATACCACTGCTTTCTCTATTTTTAATGATTCCATTGTGCCAAAATCTGTGCCAAAAAGAGAAATTCAATTCATTACATTTACAACAGTGATATACTGTAAATTTTTTTTATGGAATAAAAGAGATATTCAGTCACACTATGAAAGAATATCAAATTAATATTCTTTCACAGTGTGACAGAATATCAGAAGTGCAGCAAAACACTCAACTTTCTTTCTCTTCAAGAAGAATGTTGTAAAAAAGTACTCCCTGGCATGTTATAAGATAGAGTAAATAAACCATCCTGACAGAGACTAAAACTGCCAAAGTTTCTTCAAATATATTGTTGAAATCTATTTTCAATCTCACAATTGCTATGACTTTTCAACAGCTCAACTATGACATCACAGCCTATAGCTATATGACAGTGCATTATGAAAAGACAAAGGCAAAGAGAAAATCAAAGGAAATGTAATAAACAGAAAACTCAATATTTTCTAGTCCCATACCAAATAAATTACAAAAACGTATACTTTAATGCTACTTTTGTACCATATCAATTTGTGCATTTTAGATAAAGGTCAGAAAAAGTATCCTTTTTTTGTACTGGGCCAGATAGCCTCTGAAAGCTGATGTCCTTTATTGTACTTTATTTGGAATTAAGTTTTTTTCCCACAGTAGTCTTTTTTCACTGTACTAAAAATGTACTTTTCTTGGGCTTAAACTTTTTTGGCAAAATCAGTAAAATAAGGATGTACTTTTCTTTTTATGTACCTAATTTGGACTTAAGCTCTTTTTTCTCATTGTGTTAAAATTTAGTTTTGAAATTTCAAGCAGATTATTCAATAATTTAAAAAAAAACCCAGTGAAGTCATGAAATGATATTACAATCTATGTATGATGTTTGATAGTGTTAAAAAAAAGAGAGGAAAAGACAGTGTAGGGGTGGGGTGGGGGGGTGGGTGGGTGGGGGGGGGGGGTAGTGTCAAACACAGTTTTTATCAAATCAACAATTTGTTCATATAAAAATAATATTTGTGAAAGGTTTACTCTGGGTATCAAAGTTTCTTCCTAATATTAATTCTCCAATACCAAAATCAGAAACAATAAGAAATGTTTACATTTGCTATGTTTTTCTACTAAGCCAACTGTGAAATTGATTTGAAAGCCATTTTCGTGTATACTCACGTGTAGAAATATGCATGGAGAAACTCGCGCTAAAGTAATGTCACAATGAGCAACAGAGACGTTAATAAAAATGTAACGATGTAGGACAGCGAATAATTCAAAGAATTAGTATATTTTTGGTGCCTTTGAACACGAAAAATGTAAATATAAGGAATGTTTTTAAGTTTAGTGTGAATTATTGGTGTGTAAATCACACAGACTTCCACGTAGGCATACATGTATTTTTCATAAAGCGCTAGCACGCTTAATGAAATATGCCTCCGTGACAAGTCTGTGTGATTTACACACCAATAACTCACACAAAACTTAAAAACATTCCTTAAATACATGTACCAATAAATATATATGTACATGTATGATATCTGTACGTGTACATAAATTGGCATATTCAAAATTTAGCACAATCACTGAGTATGGAGTTGTTGGCGAAATCGTGAATTAGCGCTATACATGTCCGTGCCTTATATTGTATTTATAAATGATTTCTTAGCGATATTCATGAATTAGCGCATCATTGTCTGCGCCAAAGCCGCTAAAATATGAAGCCTGCTTTTTTAAGTAAATGTACAGTACCTTATTAGTCAATCATTGTAAAATAAATCAAGTCAAACTGACACAAACAAATTATTTTAATATCTGAAATGTAGCACTTACTCCATTTTTCTTTTATACAATAACAATAATTCTGTTACAGCCATTATTTGAACCGTAACTTTGGCCATCTACAATATATCGTACATCTTAATTTTTAAGTATATTTGAACAACAATTACAATAATAATGAAAAATGTGATCAGAAACGCTCACTTAGTTGAGCTAAAAAGGCCGTAGTATACAGGAATTCAATTCTGTAATCCACTGCTGAATTGTTCCTGATGAAATTATTAATATGGTATGAACATAAATTGCACAACATCAGATGAGTACCAGTATATTATATATCACTAATTGTATGATTGACTTCATTCTGTCACATCCTTCAATAAAAAAAATTGTTCTCCAGGTCATACCACCCACATTTGTAATGGCTACGTCCTGAACTGAAACTTTCCAGCTCGTGTGATGTATTTAACTCCTTTGAATGGTTTGTATTTCTATAAAAATTGAAACAAGAATATGGTTATTTCATGTATCAAAGTGACCTGTATGTATAAAGCATTCCCAACCTTAATATAAAACGGGGACAGAAATAAAAAAAATTGCTGCTATATAGCCATGACTTGTTTATATTCAGTAAAATTATTTGTGATTCTTAAATAAAACAGATACAAAAAAACTATTTAAATCTGAATATACAGCAATTTAAACTAGAGGTCGGTACTAAGACCAAGGTCACAAAATTATACGCCTGTTATATTTTTTTTATTCTTGCATCCAAGCTCTCTTTCTCTGTGAAAGTTTTGAACCAAACACAATATTAAACTTTTTTTTTGCTATTGACCCTGAACTTCCTCAAATGAAGTCAAAGTTACAACACAAGTGAATTAAAGTTAAAGACACATCTTCAAGTAAACAGGCAATCTTTTTGTTTCTATGAAAACCCACTTGTAATTTAAGAAAGTTGTGGACCAGACACAAATTGAACTAACCAAAATGACCTTGGGTACAAGTAGTATAAGTCATGTCACACACTCAGGCCATAAGTAATGTTTCTCTCTTACAAGATAGGACAGGAATTTTTCTGCCCGTGACCTTGTACAAATGACCTTAGGTCAAGGTAATGGTACACATTACCTTGGTGAAATATGACCTACCGATGGTTCTCTATTAGAAAACTGAATATGCACTTTTTCTGCCAGTGTCCTAAACTTGCCTAAATGACCCTGGATAAAGGTTAGGGTGTTTAGTACAAAACCTGAAGTAGTAATTTTTTGTGAAGTATGAGCTTTCCAGTTTTAGTTTGGACAAGACAGCACAGAAAGACAGACAAGTTAACTGTAATATACCCCCAAATTTGTAGGGAGTGTAATAAAGCAATGTACAAATTTGATAAAGAGAAAATGTAAAATTAAATATTATTTCAGGAAGTCTGTATTAATAGAATACACATTTTAGCTTGACCTACCTCTCCATACATGTCTAGTCTGTTAACTTTGATCCCAGATATAGCCATCTGACTAATTGTGAAATTTATCTACAAGGATTCAGAGAACCAAAAATACAGAATCTTACATCACTCAATATGATGCAAAATAATGTACATATTTCATTTTAAAGGCATCATTTACATATATTTACATCTACTTAATATCATTTCCTTTATTTCTTATGAAAACCATTGCAGTTCATCAGTCAGTAAACAACACTAAACTAGCCACCTGCATAGATTTCTTGAGCAAAGGCTGTTCCATCAATTATGCATACAATGCATGTCAATTATGCATACAATGCATGACATACACATCTATAATACAATATTTAACGTGTTTCATTTTACTTTGATTTTTTTAGGCAGATATAAATATATACAATAAAATGTCTTTCTTTGTTTGTTAGTATGGGAATTAATGTCACAGCTATATTGCAGAAAAAATTTACATAACCTTACGCGGGTTATGTATTTTTTCTGCAACAGCTGCAACATTAATTCCCGTACTAACAACCAAAGAAAGCATTTTATTGGTTAAATATGGCATCATTTACATATATGTAGTAAAACTTGTCTAATCCGGCCACCACTGGTTCCAAAGAAATTGGCTGGATTAACAACATTCCAGATTTGGCAACATTTTAAACAATTGAAATCACTGAAAGGGACTTGAAGTTTAAGTCATATTAGACAAGATTTTGGAATACACAACATTCAGATTAGACAAGTTTCACTGTATAAAAGAAAAAAAAATGGCTTACATTTATTGTTGGGTTTGACTCTGGAATGGGATGACCACTCTGTAGACTTATCTGTAATCAATTATAAAAACTCAGAGAATTCAACATTCACATCTCAGTGTCACAAAAGATGTATGCAAATTCCCCTACAATGCTTCTTGCTAAACAAAGTGCCACTTTTAAAAATGTACCCCTTCTCAATGGGAATTTGAATAGATACAATATCTATCCATGCAGAGTTGTCATTCCTTGTCATATCTCTGTCAATGTCTATGGAATAGCTAAATGTCATATAATTGATAAATAATCATGTGATCAAATTTCAAAACTGAAATTGTCCAAGGCGGAGAAAACAATGTGGAAAAAATCTGCTTTAATGAGTACATATGCCCCGCTTGGAACCAACATTTCAAAAAGTGTCTTCATGTAGTTTTTCAGTGCTATGTATCTGATGTCATACTTTTTTTTATGATCTTCAAAAATTACGGAAATTTGTTTTCTAACAAAATCTGAATTTTTTGCAGATGAAATTGTGTTTTAACTATGAAATATATTGTTTTAAAAATATCACTATAAAAATACTTTTCCCATGGGTCATTATTGTTATGTTAAAATACAAGAAGTTGACAGATGTGTTTATGCATGACAAGGAACAATAACTCTGGTTAGAGACTGGAAATTGTAGACTACTTACATTGCCTTTGATACTTGGGAGTTTGGTTGGATCCATTCTACCTACGTCCCAGGTGAGCATTTTACCTACAGGATCAAAGGTGTACTTCCCTTGAGAGGGTGTCAGGGTGAGATTCAGGACTGACTTTGGGAAGGGCACCTCCATTGAAATGTTTTCTACCTGCAACAAAGGAAATATAGTTGTTACAGTATTTTCCCTTCATGCATTTCATCAATAAAGCTTTTTCAAAAGTGATATTACAAGCACTCAACTGAATTTTGGATATGCAATCCACAGGCTTTTGACTACTTCATACCTCAAAATAAAGAGCATGATGCCTTTGGAATTTACCATTTTGAGATAAAAATTATATACATGTATTATAAATACATGTTACTTACACCAGGAACTTAATAATAAAG